CCAGGTGACAATGATATTCACTCATCATTGATTATTTGTGGAGGGGCCATCTCTCCCTTGCGATTGTTGGCTTTTTTCTTTTGGTTAATTTATTATAAGTTGTAACACTTGGCTAGTTTTGTTTGTATATGTCTTAAAATGTTTTCTTATGATATTTAAGTGACAGTTAAAGAGGTATCAAGGTAACTTGTGTAGAACTATTGTTTGATATATTGTCATGTTTGTTGTGAATATTTTTTCTTACTGCACAGTAGAGAAATAAAAACAATTGGGTCTTTATTTTAATGTAATTCAGATTGGGGAAAACAAAACAGAGCTAAGGGAACAAAATGACTGAGGGAGCACTCTCCCATGTCCAGTGCACTGAGCATTTTAGTATGTTTGTGCTTTGTACGGTTATATATTTAAAACAAAAACAAAACAAAAAAAAATAAAAGGGTTCATGCTCTTCCCTGGGTAATAGAAACAGTTACTCGCTATGCATAATCTAGTTGATAGTTAAATTTGCTATTGCTTTTCTTGTCTTGTTATATAAAATCTTTTCAATACAAGTTTAGTCTTAATGGTAATAAAACGTTATGGTTATTTATAACTTGTGCTTATTTTGTGCATTTTTTCCCATGCTGAACCCACTAAGTGCATGTAGACAGGACTGTTGTTTTCACACTGAAGAGGCAAACTTTGCGGTAGTCGTTGTAGTGGTAGACAGGTAACTAAAACCAAGGCTGCATCATAGACTCCTCCTTTAAATTTTTTTTCTGTTTTTTTTTCCTCTTTTCCGTTTTGAAAGAACAAAAAAAAAAAAAAACACTAGATTTCAGTTCAGAGAACACTCGTTCAACATTCAGGGAAACGTTTTTACATCACCTGCTATGAATAAACGCAATTTGCTGGCAAAGTTTTGATGCATTTGCTCAGCATTAATGGGAAGGGCGTGCCAGAATCTCTTCTCTATAACGTGTTCACTCTTGGGGGAAAAAAAAAGGAAAAAAAAATCTTAGGACCAGGCAGTTGTATACTTTAGTTATAATGAATGACTTCATGTTAATCTTGGTAGTTTAGGTGATTTCTGAGGGAAAGTATTGTGATTTTTTTTTCATGATCTTGTTGTGTTTGAATTATTTGTACTTTATCTGTCCAGACAATAAATGAAAGTGTGTAGAATGGATTTGAGCTTCCCAGATTTTTGAATGTGTTCATTCAAACTTTTTTTTTCTGTAGCATCTTCAGATTTCCCCCGATATTTTTATCATTAAATAAAAAAAGTAGAATAAAATTCTGTTCTGCAACTTAGCCCTCACAAAGTCAACTCAGTATTCAAAAGCCATCGCCCTAGTTCTGCGCTACCGAAAAGTGTGGTTCCTAACCAGCAATAGTGGCATCGCCTGGAAGCTTGTTAGAAACGCAGATTCTCAGGCTGGATGCGCATCTGTATTTACCCAGAACCCCAGGTGAATCGCTGATCCGTTAAAGTTTGAAGAGCACTGCCCTGGTTGATAACAAGCCAGAACATTTGGCATTCTGTTTGACATTATGATATGTTAGTATCTGTTATTCATTTGTAATCATATTTGTTGTGACTTGTTCAGAGGGCAAGGGGTCACCGTTTGCAGAGCACCTACTATGTGTCAGGCAAGCTGTGTGGTGTCCTCTACATTCTCTCACTTTTTCCTCCCAGCAGCCAGAGAGGAATAGATCTTGTGACCCCCATTTTATAGATGATAAGACTGAGGCTCAATGAGATTAAGTAACTTGCCAAAGTCAACACAGCTAACAAGTTTCAAGCTGGGATATGAATCCTAGTCTGATTCTACTGCCCAACGGCTCAGCATTGAGATTGCAGAGCTTGAGCAATACTAAAAGAACAGTCCATTTGTATTGGAAAGTGACAGCTAAACAAAAAAGGTCACCTTTTTTTGTGTGTGTTCATTTGGCTTAGAAAAAGTTGCAAATGTTTGACTTCCTTACCCTTGTATAGAAACCCTAAACAAGAACTTATTCATACAGTGTATAAATACCATGACTTAAGCTCAACCTAGGAGGGACAGTGGAAACACTGGTGGCATAGTGGTTAAGAGCTATGGCTGCTGATCTAAAGGCTGGCATTTCAGATCCACCAGCCGCTCCCTGGAAACTCTATGGGGCAGTTCTACTCTGTCCTATAGGGTCCCTATGAGTCGGAATCAACAGCAGTGGTTTTTTTTTTTTTTTTTTTTTAAGTTTTAGGAAGGGAAAACACACACACACACCTCTGACTTAAGGTATGAAGTCATGTTAAAACGTACCCTGAACTTCTTTACAGATGAATTTTTAGTGATTTCTTGATACCGTCAGTCACTCGTTGGTGATCTACTGTCTGTCTTTTATTTTCTCACTAATTGCAAATTCATACATACCCTATAAAACATCACCATCCATAAACTGACACTTCAGGAAGAAATGCCCCCACAGAACCAGATGAACAAATAAGCAGGTTCTCTTCCATTTCTCATTAGCCTCTTTTTTATCATCATATTAAATCACCACATTGGTTGCGATAATTAAATTCAGGGCAAAGAATGGGATTTATTTAACCAAGCTAATATTAAACCTCTAAGTCAGCCTGAACCTCACATAGTTGAACTTAAAGGTTCTTATTCTAGTTTTATGTTGAAGACAAGCCTCTATGTTTTCTTTTCTGAAGGAAAAACGAGCATTCAAGCTAACAGTTGACCCCAAGAGTATCAGAGCCTCACAAACATGTTTACAGACTAAACGTTTTCTGTCAAACCTATGGCAGTTGCCAGTCATCACCACCCCTGCTCCTTAAAGGTGCAATTTTAGAGCACCTTAAAGGAGCGGATACATTATCTTGGAATATCGGAAGTTAGTAGAATTGTACCAGTTCATTCTCCAGCCTCCAGAAAGATAGATTGTAAAAGTTTTGCAAATAAATATAGGTCTTTAAATAGGTCTTTAAACTATCCATAGACAGACATTCTACATATACTCTCTCGGCAACGCTTCCCAACATGAGTGCAATGTGTCTGCCTAACATCTAACAAAAAATCCATCTTGTTGTGAGTGCAAGCCTATTGCCTTAATTCTTCAGGTAAATGTTATATAACTTCTGTAGGTGTTTGTGGGAAAGGCCTAGCACATCACAGGAATGCAGATATTATTAAATTTCCTTTAGGTCCTGGGTACATCATATTTTGCTTAGTTGAAAAATTGCACATCATAGAAGGCTGACTGCATTTACTTAGCGTTATTTCTGTCAAAGTGATAGGAAGGGAAGGTGCAAAAAATATGTATCTATGTCTATAATCATCCTACACCATCACCACCAGCATCAAAACTTTACTTAACATCCATTACCAAAGATCATACTTTGAGCAAATGATGGCTACAGCCAGAAAGGGCTATTAAAATTTTTATCAGCTTGGGTCCTGTTTAAATTTCTTCTATCAAGATCAATCTTTATTTGTTCATTTATAATAAGACATTTAACCCCCAAAGAACAACTTTTTAAAGTAAATTTGAAACTCAGAAAATCTTGTGGCGGCTCATACTCAGCCAATCCTTATGTCTAGAGATTTTAACCTTGTCAGAATTCAGCACATAATTGCCTTTTGTCATCGATAATTCTGTGAACTCCCAATTCTTGAAATTGTTTTGCCCTTACTTCCTGTAGGGACTATTCATATGTTCTTTAACAGAGAGACACATGCAAACACACAGAGGCAAGTATTTGTATAATTGAATAGAAAACAGTTTTTTACTTTCACCTGTGAATTCAAAAATCATACCTGACAGGA